ATGGAAAGTATCAGATTTTAATTTCAGAAACAAAGTCCAGGTAAATCTTGAGTAATCATCTACAATAACTAATGCATATAGATTTCCTCCTAAGCTCATGGTTCTAGAAGGACCAAAGAGATCCATGTGCAAAAGTTCAAGACGTCTAGATGTTGAAACAATATTTTTCTGTGAAAAAGAGTTTTTGATCTGTTTTCCCTTTTGACATGCATCACATACTCTGTCTTTCACAAACTTGAGTTTAGGCAAGCCAATGACAAGATCCCTAGAAACCAGTTTGTTAAGATGATTCATATGAATATGAGCTAACCTCCTATGCCATAACCAGGAATCATTTTCTTTAGAAATTAAGCAACAGTTCTTAGCGAGAATTAGTATCTAACATGTAAATATTGTTGATTCTCTTACCAATAATCATTACCATTGCTGAATCAGATCTGATAATTTGGCATTGATTTTGCTCAAAGATTACTTTGTGTCCTTTATCACACAGTTGGCTAATACTAATCAGATTATGTTTTAAGCCTTCAACATATAAAACATTGTTAATAATACCTAATTTTGCACATTTAATGTCACCAATTCCAAGAATTCTTCCTTTATTATTATCACCATAGACCACAGTTCCACCATTTTTCGATCTGAGATTGCAAAACTTTGTAATATCACTCGTCATGTGCTTGGAACGACCACTCGTCAAGGTACCGGAGATCTTCACTTTGTTTTTCCCGAAATGAAATTAGTATGGTTGCAGGTACAGTGTTGAAATAAGCAATTAATTACATGCTTGGAAGTATATTTTAATCGATTAATTTGATACTTAATCGATTAATCAAGTGCTTGGAGAGAATGCATCGAATAATAATCGATTCAAACGAGGAATAATCGGTTAATTTTTATTCTGTTAATGATTTTAACTGATATGAAATTATTTTAATCGATTAAAACAGTTAAACTATATTCCAGATAGGGATGGCAATTAAACCCGTACCCGTGGGGACCGACCCATCCCCGCCCCGAGTTTGACGGGGAAAACCCGAGTTGACCGGGGGCGGGGTCGGGTTCGAGTTTTCCCCGCTTTAAAAAGTCGGGGACGGGGGCGGGGATGGGTAATGCAATCCCCACCCAGACCCCGCCCAGTCCCCGCCTCGACTTTATATTTAAATTTAAATTTTAAAATATTAATATTTTAAAAGTATTTCATTTTCTTTTTCTATTACATATAAGGTTATTTTTTTTATATTTCACCAATTTTTATTTTTCTTCTACCCACTTTTTAATTTTTTTTATTTTTTTCAATCTTTTATATCAATTAATTTATTATATTATTTTCTCCCTTATCTTTCAGTTTTTCACATTTTCTTAGTCTCTCCCATCAATTTGTTTTTTTTTTCAATCTTTTCAACCAATTTGATGAACACAAAGTTAATCTTTTTTCTTTATCCTTTTCTAAATATTTTACATCAATCTTAGTAGTAACTAATATTAGTTTATTTATAATTTATATTTATTATGTCATATTTTTTTATCTTATTATGCTTATTTATCATATATCAAATTTTATCTTAATAAAATAATTGCATTTTAAAGGATTAAAAGAAATTAATAATTTAAACTTTTATTATTTCAAACTAATTAAATAAGAATTAACTTATTAAATATTTTCTTATAAACTATATATTGACAACTTGAAAATGAATTAACTTATATGTATAATTAAATATTTGAATACAGTATTATAATAATAATGTTATAAATATTCAAATATTTGAATACAGTGTTATAATAATAATAATAATAATAATAATAATAATAATAATAATAATAATAATAATAATGTTATAAATATTATATATATATATATAATAAAAAATAATTAAATATTTCTTTTACATATATATTTTAATATAAATATAATAAATTAAAATGTATATTTAATTAATAATAACTATAAATTATAAATATTTATTTATATAGAAAAATACACAGTAAAATTAATTTATTATAAATATAATTATCTTTTTAAAAATAATATAAATCGGGGACGGGGCGGGGCGGAACCCGAAACCCAGCGGGACGGGGATGGGGACTTAATTCCTAACCCGCGGGATCGGGGCGGGGACGGGGATGGTTAAAAAAGTTGGGGGCGGGGACGGGGGAGACAAAACCCGCCCCCGCCCCGTTGCCATGCCTAATTCCAGAGAACATTTTAATCGATTAATTCGCATTTTAACCGATTAAAACTGTACGGACAGTTTCTCTGTAAGTGATTTTAACCGATTAAAATGGTTTTGTATCAGTTACAATACTCAGTCCATGAATCCAGAGACAGAATTCGCTTATTTGATACACAGGGGCTTCCACATTCTGTTCCTGCAAAACAGATTAGGCATTTCTGGTACCCTTTATGATTACTGGGTCCAATTAGGTTATTTGAAATGAATTAATTTTTGGAACCCATTTCATTCTACCTTTAGGTACGGCATATTTCTTAATTCTGCAATATTTAACAGAGTGCCCTTTTTTCATACAGTAAAAGCATTTGATAAACGGAGATGAAACAGTTTTACTATATGCAAAATAATTTTTAAAAGCTCTGGTTTTCTTTCCAATGGCTGGTGTATAACCTATACCACCACGTTCAATAACTAATTTTTGGGAATTAAGTATCTTATCAAGATTATTTTTTCCTTGTGCCAATTTAGATGAGGTTTTTACTAGATATGATACTTGTTTCTCGTAACTTCGGGACAGCTTTTGCAATCTTCAATATTACACATGCAATCGAGTATCATTCTCTAATTCTAACTTTTCATCCTTAGTTTCTTCATCAGCTTATTTTCTTTTCAAGAAGAATGATCTTGTTTTCTAAAAGCCTATTCATGCTTTTCAATTTTCTATTTTCAGTTTCTAATTTCTTTGCTACTTGCATGTATTTCAAGGAAAGCATCTTGTAATGAGCTATAGTTCATAGATTCAGAACTTACACTGGTATTTGGTGATTCTGAGTTGACCATCAAGCATATTTCTGGTGCTTCTTCATAGGTCTTTTCAAGAATCTTCCACATTTGTGCAAGTTGTTTGGCAATGTGCAATCTCGAAAAGATCATTTTTGTTAAGGGCGAGATAAGATGATATTCTTGGCAATACAATCATCTTGGATTCCGTTAGCAATATCAATTTCCTGTTCAATAACATTCCAAGCATTTATACTAACAGATTCAATGAAGATTTTCATCCTTATTTTCCAGAATAGATAATCTGTTCCACACAACAGGTGGAGGTCTATCAATGTACGCTCCCTCAGAAAATGCCATGGATCGAAGTAACTTGAGTAACTTTCAAGCACCTCGCTCTGATGCCAATTGTTAGAAAAGTAGTTTTAAATCAAGAGGGGGGGTGAATTGATTTTTGAAAGTTTTTCGCAATAAACAGATTATCTAATTCGAAAATTAAGTTTACTAATCAATTCACGAATCACAAAGCAATTAAACAATACAAGCGCAACAGAATCGAAATTAAAGAGAGAAAGGTTAGGAAAGATTTCACCGGTAATTTTATACCTGGTTCACCCAATACCAGGGCTACGTCCGATCTCCAGCCAAATTCCAGCTGGGTTCCACTAGAATAGATGTTTTACGAGACTCAACAATCTTACACCTACTCTAACACAAGAACCAACTTCCAGTTATTGCACTCAACCTTTCCACCAAGAACCAAATTCCAGTCCTTGGAAACCTCTGCAACCAAATTCCAGCTGCAGAGAAACCAGTGCCCAAATTCCAGGCACCACACAGTACAAGAACCAAATTCCAGTTCCTGTAATCAACCTCTCCACCAAGAACCAAATTCCAGTTCTTGGAAACTTCTACAACCACCTACCAGCTGCAGAAAACTTGTACCCAAATTCCAGGTACAACACAATACAAAGAAATGAAAAGTAATTGAAAAGAAGAGACTTAGAAAGCTCAAACCGGATTACGCTAATCCACAGTAAGTTTCTTCTTCACAGAATGCAATATGCCTCAAGAAAGATTTCAAAAAGAACTTCACAAAACAGTTGTAATTCTTTCTTGGAAAAAGTATGCTAACAGTTGCTTGAATTGATTGCTTTGTTTTTGTGTAAAACTGATATTCAACCTATGTTTAAAAATTTCAAGCAAAACTGATTTTAAAGAGAATTTTCAAATCTGCTGCATTAATTAATCTGTTGAAAGTTTGTTTTAATCTGTTGAAATAGCTGTTATAATCTGTTAAAAGTCCTTTCAACCCATTAACGCGTTCTTGTTCTTTAACAAAATTGTTTTAGTTGATACAACCATGTTTATATCAGTTAAAACATTTTACAAACATTTTCTAAGTGTGATACAATCGATTGATTCGCGTATTAATCGATTGATTTGCTAAAAAAACCTTCTTATAAAACTTTCCAAGTTATTTTAGCTGATATAAAGTCGTTTTAATCGATTGAAAATCTGCACATAAATTTTCAAGTCTTTTTAATCGATTGAAAGTTCGTTTTAATCGATTGAAATAAGTCTGATCGGTCATTTTTAAAGTCTGATCGATTATATTTCATTCTGACCTGTCATATTCGAATTCTAATCAGTCATAAAGGGTTTTAATCGATTAAAAGAAGTTTGAATCGATTAAAATACTGAAAAAACACTTCTTTACGCATTCTAAGTGATTTTAATTGTTTCTTTTAAAACTATATCAGTTAAAAACATTGTTAAGAAAGTTCTTTGTCAAAATGCTTTTGTTTGATTTGTTTAAAACTATTTTTGAGGCATTTTGCAAATTGAGTGAAGGAGCTTCATGCAGTGGAAAAGGTAAAGTGGTTTTACCTAAGCTTTCTGATAAGACACACTAAGTCTTCAGCTCCATTCTTCTGAGTGACTTGTTTGACTGTTGCAGAGTTGACCTTTGACTTTATCTTTGACTTCATCAAATCAATGAGATCTTTGCTAGTATCACTTTCAATATTTAAATCATTGTACCTTACTATGCTCCATTTGAGGCTGAGATCTTCTACTCCTGAAATGCCATATGAAAAAACATTGATATTAGACACCATCCCCCATCATTTGTTTGGTTCAACGCAATGAGGGTGGGGGGATTAATTAGACATTATGCTTGATTGATAGAAGTGGACGTAGCCCTTTTCTTCTTTGATTCACAAGGGGAGGGGAGGAATTTAAAAGTTAATTTACCTTCATATTCTAATAATTTTGGATGTCAGAAAATAAATAGGATTATCTTTATTAATAAACTTGAAATGTTTTAAATCACCTCCTCTCCCCGTCCAAATCCCAAAAATAAAAAGGGGAGCAAAAATTGGATGAGGATTTTTGTTTCCTTCCATTCCCCTTCCTTCTCCATTTCCCACCAACCAAACAATATGTTAATTACTGAAGAACTTTGAACCATTAATCTGATTGGCCACAGAAAATAGTGTGACATAGAGGTTGTTACAACATGATGCCCAACTACTGAATAATGACACCAACAAAAAATTTTGGAACAGAAAATTCAGAACCATAATAATATTTAGCTAACACAGAAGAGACTCTAAAGAATAATTGTTTGGGTAAAACTCAACAAGATGACCACGTTAGTCATCAAATTCATGCATGTGACAGTACAAGCAATATCATTTTCCCAAGACAAAAGCAGTTACAGGCCTTAGCAAGAAAAGAAAAATGAAAGAATCAATAATGAGGCAAACCTGTATGGGGAGAAATCCCTATCATCGTCTTCAGCAGACTCATAGTTTGCATGATCCTGAGCAAGCTTTTTAGAGTAACCTTCATCCCAATAAAGCCTCTCCCAGTTTTCTCTAAGTTCATTATACAGCTCAATATACCTTTTGCACCAAGGATCATGCTCCTTTCAATACAAGACAGGCATTTTAGAAAAAAAAAAATATATGATTTTGAATTTCACATTTTTTTTATTCATAAAAAATCATAAGCTGGCAACTACAAGTCAGTAATGCAACAGAAATATAATATCCATCACATTTTCACTCACATTGACTGAGACAGAAACCATGTAATGTAACTATGTATAATGAAAATCCAAACTGCAAACACAAATACAATGGCAGAATAATGTCTTAAGTTTAAATACTCCTTAACAAGATTCATTTTCACTTTTTGGGTTTTAAAAACTATTTTCCAAGATAATGTCACACTACTTAGTAATCAAATTGTTTTCAAAAGCAGTAAACAAAATAATAGAAACAAGTATTTTCTCATCTTTGGTCTGATTTCATCGAATACAACGTCTCCCTCCACTATCTAGCAATCTTGTTTAGTTTCATTTCAAAAACTACACAACAGTTTTCGAATGTAAAATTCAAATACACTCTAAAACTACATTTTTTAAGTGTTAAGGTTTTAAAACAACACTGATTTGGGCTTCAACATCAAGACTTTTGGAGTCTCCACAACCACAAACTACAACACGTCCACAATGACAGAATTGCGACCAAAGCTGAGACTACAATTTAAAACTTTGCGTACGAACTAAAAAACTTACAAAGACTAAAACACAAAAAAGTAGCAAAACCTTGGTCTTACTCTCTACTTGGAGAGTCAATCCATAAGAAAACACACTCTGCCTATATCCTATGCTGCACAACCCTTCTCAACAAAACTATATTATCCCAAACTAAATATAATTATAAAATAAATAAATAACAGGAAATTAAGAAGAAAGAGTAAGAGACTAACGGATTCCTTAAGAACGAGGCGTGTTCGGCGCATGAATTGTTCTCTGAGCTGCTTGCGGCGCTTGTTGGGGATGTTTTCTCGGGGGATCACGAAGCGCTCACGTGGCGGCACGTGATCGCCGATCTCGTGCATTTCGCCGTCCACCGCCCACCACTCCGACCGCTCCTCCGTCTTCCTCAACGCCACCGGCGGCGACTTTGGCCGTGTTCTGGCATACCGAAGCTGCTCGAGGAGAAACGGCGTCGTCAGGGGCCGAAGCGGGAATCGTTTCGCGACCGAGAGCATCGAACCAAACAGCTAGGTTCTTCTGCTTGCTTTGTTGCTTTTAATATTTTCATATATCCACTACTCAACATAACTAACAACCCTCACTATATATATATATATATATATATATCATTCAAAAATTTAATTAAGTTTTTCAATTAATATAAATATATATATATATATATATATATATATATATATATATATATATCATTCAAAAATTTAATTAAGTTTTTCAATTAATATAAATTTTTTATTTCAGAAACTAAATTCATATTAACTTTAAATTCCAAGACTTAATTAAACAAATTAATAATATATGAATAAATTGTATAACTATATGAATCAAATTATAAAATAAAAAAATAAGGAAAAGTTATATAATTAATTGTTTATGAAAATGTTTGCATTTCTTTAATGTAATGTAGAGATAATATTTTTAAAAATACAATTCAAAGCATTTATAATTTTATAAACACAATAATATGAGTTCAATGGTCTCTACACAATTTTATTTTCATGACATATGCCTTTAGCCAAAACTTTAATTTAGTCAGATCACTTTATTATTTAGCTTAATAAATAATGACTCTAACACATTTAAATTATGTATCATATATATATATATATATATATATATATATATATATATATATATATATATATATATATACCCAAATTTTGCCAACAATCTCCCACTCGGTCACAAATATATATGTCCTTGCAACCTTACAAATGTGTTAGACTTTATGAGCTCAAAATTGTCATTATATCCCTTTAACATACTCCAAAAGTCTTGTCCATTAATCATATCAGGATATAGAACCAAATCAGCTTTTCATTACATCATCGCAACTAAAACCAACAATGATTACTCATCCTGATATAACCAAATGACATGGATTCATCATGAAATGTGTAACATGAAAAATTACGTGAGGGTGATCTTTACACGTCTATTTTCAACTGGTCCAAACTTTAACTTATCGAGATCGATATAATATCCTTAATGTACAAAGTGTAATGAATGAGCGAAAAAACCGCATATCTATAGATAACCAAATATGTCCAAAAATCAATGTATACATATATGAAATTAAACATATAACATAAAATATATGAAAGTGACTAACTCCCACTAAACCATAAATTCCTCAAACTGTAAAACACCCATGTGAGCAAAATGTTCATGAAAGACCTTGGACGGAAGTCCTTTAGTTAGATGATCTGCTATCATGGAGTTTGTCCTAAAGTGTTATATGAAAATCTGTCCATTTTGTACTCTTTCCTTAACAATACAGCTGATTTGTTGTCACAATATAACTTAAGTGGTCTTTCAATGCCTTTCACAATTTGCAGCCCTGTGACAAAATTTCTCAGCCATATTCCATGATTTGATGTCTCATAGCATGCTACAAATTCTTGACATCCTGCAAAATCTGAGTCAGAAAACCCAGCGATCTCTAACTGGTCTGACCTCTTGTATGTGAGCATATAATCTTTTGTTCTCTTTAAATATCTTATGACCCTTTTTGCTGCTTTCCAATGGTCTATTCCTGGATTGCTTAAATATATGCCTAGAACCCCAACTATGTATACTATGTCTGGATGCGTACATACTTGGGCATAGATCAAACTCCTACAACTGATGCATAGGGAATCTTTTGCATTTCCTCAATTTTCAAATTCCCCTTTGGGCAATGATTGAGACTAAATTTGTCTTCCTTTAAACTAGTGATACACACAATCATCAACAATATTCATCTTGAAGCCAAATGAGTTTCATACCTTCTGGTAATGGGACAAGTTCCCAAACCTTATTGTCTTGCATGGACTTATACTCCTCCTTCATTGCTTCAATCCACTTTTGAGAGTTAGAACCTTGTATAGCTTGACGGAAGTTAATTGGGTCATCTTCCATTATATCATTATTTTCCTCATGTTCCTGAAGAAATACCATGTAATCATCCGAAATAGCATTTCTGCTTTCTCTAGTGGATCTCTGCAAAGTTATTGGCTCATGATGCACAGGTTCTTGAGGATATTGAGTTTGTTCTTCATGAACAACCAAATCATCTTGAGTAAGGGGTTTATTAACAATACCTTGTGGAGGTTCCGAACTTACTTTATCAAAAGTAACTATTTGAATCGGTTCTGGAATTGTTACCGATTCTTCCTCCAAGACAAAGTTCCTGATTTTATTCTCCCCCCCAAACTCAATATCCTCAAAGAACGTAGCAGTTCCCGTCTCAAAAATTGTCTTTAATGTGAGATCATAAAATTTATATCCCCTGGATCTTTCAGCATAACCAATAAAATAACTACTTACTGTTCGGGAGTCAAATTTCTTTTTATTTGGCTTATAAGGCCTTGCCTCAGCTGGACATTCCCACACATGGAAATGCTTCAGACTAGGTTGTCGCCCAGTCCAAAGCTCATAAGGAGTTTTGGTAGCTGCTTTAGTTGGTACTTTGTTTAGAATATAAGCTGTCGTCTTTAGTGCCTCTCCCCAGAGTGACTCCGATAAGGTGGAATGAAAAATATACTCCTGACCATATCTTTAAGAGTTCAGTTTCGTCTTTCAGCTACACCATTCATACTAGGTGATCCCGGCATGGTATACTGTGGGACAATTCCACACTCCTCTAGTTACCTGGCAAAAGGTCCTAGACGTTGTTCACCTGACTCGTCATATCTGCTATAGTACTCACCACCACGATCAGACCTGACAGACTTAATTCTTTTGTTGAGTTGATTTTCAACTTCAGCTTTAAATGTTTTGAATACGTCCAGAGATTGTGATTTTTCATGTATAAGAAATAAGTATGCATATCATGAGTAATCATCTATGAATGATATAAAGTATTGTTGACCATTCCACGAAGGTGTAGGAAATGACCCACAAATGTCCGGATGTATTAACTCTAAGACGTCTGTAGCTCTATATGTACCTAATCTCTTCACTTGGTCTGTTTGCCCTTAATGCATTCAACACAAACATCAAAGTTTGTGAAGTCAATGGACTCTAAGATTCCATTTAATACAAGTCGTTCAACTCTATTTTTAGAGATGTGACCTAAGCGCCTGTGTCATAATGCTCCTGAGTGAGTATCATCAATTTTACGTTTAGTACCCCGTGATTCTGTATTAAGGGTTTCATTATAGGTGGTCATAGTATCAAGTAAATACATATTATCATAAGGCAAAAGTGAACCAGTTCCAATAGTATTTAATTAAAAGACAAACTGAACTTATTGTTTCCAAATGAACACAAATAACCTAATTTGTCCAAATAAGAAATTGAAATCAAATTCTGTCTAAAAGACGGCACCACAAAAGTGTCTTTTAAGTCTAAAATAAAAAACCAGTACACAATAATAATCTAAAATGTCCAATAGCTTCCACCTCTACCGATTTGCCATCTCCAACATATATTCATCTTTCATAATCAATTGGCTTTCGATAGCTTATGCAACCTTTCATAGAAACACTAATGTTAGTAGTTGCACCTGAGTCTAACCACCAAGTGTTACTAGATACTTGACGCTAAATTGACTTTAGAACAAACCAAAGTAGGAAACATACTTTTGAGGGTCGTAATAGAATTTAAATTGGCATATACAAAAATAATTGTAGCTGAATTAAGAACAAGAGAAATAAATTAATTATACTAACATTATAAAAAATAAATAATTATAAATATTCAAATAATAGTTTAACTCATCTCAAGACACCCAATGCACCATCAATATCAAGTCTTTGGACGAGTAATATTAACTGTTAGAGGTATCTTGTTGTAATAATCAAACATTGACAATGATGCTACAATGAAGAATTGTATTTGCATGACAAACATTTTGTATAATATGCACAAGATTTACACCCATTGTATTATATTATATGCACAAAATGCACAATATTTTGCAAATATCAAACAATATTATAAGAGAACTAGTTAGTCGATGGTCAGTTAGTGATCATTGTTTTAGAATAAAATAATATCTTGTCCCCATTCACCCCTTTAGATGTTTATTTTTCGTTAGGTTTACGTATAAGGGGAGGTAGTTGTTTTACAAAATATGTCAATTTTGTTTAATCTTCATGCAGTACATTCTACCTACATATTTGGGAAAAGGAATTCATATTTTATTACAATTAAAATTTATTTATTTTTAAATAAATATTCCCTTTTATTTTAAAATATTACACAAACCAATATAAATATTAATAATTATCATTTTTAACAAATTTATTAATCATTTTTTATTAATATATTTATTATTTTATTATTTTCTCGAATTAAAATATTTTTAAATAATTAATTTTTTATTAATATAATTAAAAGATAAAAATATAATTAATAAACAAATAGTTATTACAATCTTGAACTTTATAAAATAGTAATATATTTTAAGATAAAAGGAGTAATTATAATATTTTTATCATAATTTTCATAAATTCATGCAATTTTTAAAAAAATTAATTGTTTTATATCATTATTAATAAAAATTATGAGATATAATTTAAAAATATTACTATAATTTTAATTAAGACAAACTTATCATTGCATTATAATTAAATTCATTTATAATTAGAATTTAATTCCATTATACCAATAATATAATTTTTATACTTTTATCTATGTGTAAATTACTGTGTATAAATTATTTTTAACTTATACTCTATTGTAACTTTTAACGCTAATAATATATTAATTCATTTTGTCTACGTATCTTCCTGATTCTTATTTACTGGAGGTATTGTTTTTTATATTCTAATCCATTATAATTTTATTATAAATATATATATATATATATATATATATATATATAAAAATTATTATCCATCTCAATTCTTAAATTATATACAATATGATATAAAATTAATAAAAAATTAATAAAATTAAAAAGAAATTAAAAATACTTTTAAAAAAGTAATTACAAAAACTGTGAACACAAATTATGATAAGAATAATTGGGGTTGTATGCAAGGTAGGAAATTGGAAAAAGAAAACTCTAAATAAGAGTTTCCAAAGTTTAAAAAAAAAAAGTAAACATTTTTGCAATCAGGATAAATGATTTCTTCCAACAACTGCAAATCTTTCATTCACTACTTTCTTCCAACCTTTTTCTCTTTCGTTTGGATGTTGGTGGACTGCACAGAAATATAATATCAGCATTGCTAAGTGTAAAAATCTCATAAAAGCACAAGTGTTAAAATCTCAAAAAGCAGTTAATAATATTTTCTCACAAATGGAAAAACTCAACTACATCACAGAGATTGGTCAAAGATCATAAAACATTTAGAGATCGGTCAACTACATGTTCCAAACCTACCATGGTTCCACTAATCTTCACATGCATAACCATTTTTTATTCTTATGAATCAAGACCTTAAAGAGTGATTATAAATTTTTACTTTAAAAAATAATAAAATAATGGTAGAATACACAATAGTATAGTAACTATTAATATTAAGATTGTCTTTCTGTGAACTTATTACAATAAAAAACAAATATTACAAATTATTAATAAATAAAATAATAATTCTTAAAAAAGACTAATTTTTATCTATTTGTTAGAATTAGATAGCCTTTATAACAATTTTGTTCCACGTTGTAAAGTTTGAAGCACATAATAAGCGTTAGACAAATAACTTTTTTCAAATTATATACTTAAAAATATAATCCTTCAAAAAAAAATTAAATGTAGCAAGTAATGAAATGAAGATTAAAGAGAAAATATTAATTAACAGTAATAGACAAATATAATTTTCAACATTGGATTTATACAATTAAACATTTCATCTTCATTAATTTTAATATAATTATATTTGATATGTTATTATATATTTTATGCCATGGTCTAGGACTACTATGGACCCAACAAATATCCACATGACACATAGTTAGAAACTATTAATTCTTTCTCATCAAATGAAAATCTCGATCATATGTCATGTAAATATTGGTCAGGACCATGTACATGTTCTGGTCAGAAACACTGATAGTTTCTCTTATTTTATCGACAACAACTTGAATAGTTCATGTTACCATGGAGACACTTATATTTGGAGATTTCTCATAAATATAAATAAGATTGGTAAACATACCTTTTAAGTAATGTTTGTATATCAGCACCAAGACTTGTGCTTAACTCGTCAATATTTGCATCAACCTCATTGTTAAAATTCAATAAGTTGCAAGCATCGAAAAGAGCAGTAGAATTCACTGTATTGGAGATAATTGATGAATCCTTTATCTGTGACTTGAGATGTTCCATCAAAATAAGTGCTGCATAGAGATTTCTTGGAAGTTAGTAAATGAAAGTGATTAGAAACCATATCTTATTCTCTAACATTAGTGCAAGAAGTAGATTCATTATTATGCTCCTAGTAGTAGGAATTTCAATTAATTTGCAACTACTACAGTGAAATTCAATTCAGTTCGAAATTTCAGAAATCCAAACCAGTGGTGCAGATAATCTAAGTATGACAGTAATTTGATGGCATTTCATTGTATGCATGCAACAGTACGGACTCAACAACCAATGACAGGCTGATGTCCTTTAATGATTTCAATGGATGAAAAGAAGTAACGAACATCCTAAAATCTTGATGAAATTAAATACTTGAATTCTTCTTGCAAGAAAAGAATGTCAGAGCAATCCAGTCCCTTTATAAAAGTTAACATTATAAGTAATACCTGTAGAACCCTGCCTCACCATTAATATTAACATTATACAAGAAAACAACAATAAAAGGAGACATAAGTAATCAATGAACATTATGCATATGAGATTTGAAAGGTATGCATATGAGCCAAGAAAAAAGAGCCATAGAGCATACCAATGGCTCGAATCATTTTGAGGTTGAATTTTTTAGCCATCTCCTTACAACCTATCATTTTTGCACGCTGAATGATCAACAATTTCAAGCTAATCAGCACGTCCTGACAAGTTTGAAATTTTCGCCATCAAAAGTTAAGCTCTTACAACAGAAATAAAACTTAAATGTGAAGGGGACATTCAAATTCAAGAAACACAGATAACCCAACTAAACATGACTAACCAGGTCTACTTGAAACTAGATTTACACATATAACTTGGTCTAAGACAGACTCGATTACATTTCCATTCATTAATGAACTAGATAGTCCGATTATTTTGATTTCATAAGCTTAAATTATTCTAAAAAAAGTAGTTTTATTAAGGAGAATGGTAGAAGTACAATAGGAGTGGACTGGGGGAATAACATATCTATATCCCACGAGAAAAAAGGTTAATTTCATTTTTGGTCCCCCAAATACCGCAATTGTGCAATTTTAATCCCTAAGGTTTCAACTGTATGTGTGATTTTAGTCGTCTAGGTTCTAATTGTGCCAATCAGGTCCCCAAGTATCATAATTGTGAGATTTTAGTCTCCCAAACATACCATAAGGCATTGTGACATTATCAAATTCCAATCAAAGATGGAACTAAAATCTCAAATTCGTGATACTTGGAAGATCAAATTGGCACAAATAAAATCTGAAAGAATAAAATCAAATAACTGTGATACATGAAAAACCGAAAGTGCTATTAAGCTCAAGATAAATGCAGAGCATAAAATGAATATTAAAACAGGTAGCAAGACTGTTTAATCTCCAGATCATAGTGAAGAAATAACTAGCACCAAAGAGAATCCATTCTTTCCAAATAAAATGGCAAATCTGAATCCTAAAAAGTTACAACCATTTGTCTCTGATCAAACAGGTATGTAAAGATAGCATAAGGTACAAAAAAGTTATGCCTTCATCTTGTTAACTCCACGGTTCAAATGAACAAGTGAAATGAAGGGACATACCTAATATACATCAAACATGCAAAACTCTTGTTCCAAAGGAAAGTAGCTACAACAAAAATAACACTACGACATTATGCAAAGGAGAGGACTTGATATTTTTGTTAATTAATACACTTGAACCTTAACATTTATTTTATTACTCTTTGTATAATAATTCATTTTGTTTTTGACATCTTATCTTCATCCCTTTTGTAAATTCACTCTGTATATCTTCTCTTGCAATATTATAGTTCTATAAAAAAATGCTCTCAAGAGTGCGATCTCGCATACTCTGTAATCTCTGAACAAGATTTCTGGTATCGAAGTTTTTACCAAAAACACTATAGTAATATTATCTAAAGCAACCAACCTAGAAAATCTAGAAACAAAGAAAACAATGATAAAATGTGATCCATTAAGTTAATGAACACACAAAGAGACTTACAATTTCAGACTCCGAAAGGGAGCAAAGCCAAGCAATATCTTCAACCCTAGTTTCACAATTTTTATCCGGCTCAACAACATGCTTCAATCTTTTCTTCAAGTATCTTCCCTTCATAGGATCAAACTGATAATTATAAGATATGAACTCCTGTTAAAATTGTAATTAAAATAAAACAAAAGTTAGTTGAAAAATAGACGAAAAACAGTGTTTTTCTAACAAAATAACAAAAGTGAATATTAGCAAGTAAAAGTAAAATATATATCTAACTATCCTATGCCCAAAAACACAACCAAGAGAAGGAAAATGAATAAAACCCTCAAACCAATAAACAGAAACACTGAAATGAAAGTTAAAAGCAAAACTAGACAAAACTTAAGTAATATTGAAAGATGTTGTGAGTATCATTATCATGCACTAGAGTCCCACTCATCTCAAGATGTTTGAATGAGAGAAAGCACAGCACAAAAGGGAAAAATGTGAACCAACCCATCAACACCAGTTGTCAAAAAATTCAACTCACACAGGTTGGCTCACTGAATGAACAAAAATTAAGTCCACCTTGCTCAATCACCAGGAGGTGGGTTAAATAACTGACTCATCATAATCAAAGAGAAAAAACATAAAAAAATGAAATAATAATAATAGTAAAGCTCAACAAAATGTAAAAATACATGAAGTAAGCTTAGGAAGAGAGCAAAAAGGTAGACTTGGTACCCAATTACTTAGCCAGTTAAAGTAAGTTTGAAAGGTGATTTATAAATTATCACAATTCATCCGCAAACTTCACAATACATACTACACCAATAGTTTACCAACAAATTATGAACCAATAAATTTCCATACACAAATAGCACCAATCCAAGCTAGTCAAACCTTTTTCATATTCAGGGCTAAATGATCATGCTATGAGCAAAATATATGAAATCAGGGATCATAGGGAACAAAAAGATATAAATATAAAAGTTGTCGAAAGGAAGGACAGTGAATTCGGATAATAACAGAAAATAATTTTGGAACAGCAGTGTTAATGAAAGGAATCCTGCAGATCAATTTGGATAGAAGAAAAAGACAAGCTTATTCCAATAAAAGTATTAGCTAACATAAGATATACAGTATAATAAGTTTATGTTTAGTTCCACAATGAAACATTCAAAATCACAGTGAAATATCAGTAGTTAATGCAGAATTTTAGGTAAGTGTCTGCATGTTTAGTCTCACTTTGAAAAATTGATTCTGAAACTTTATCTAGAATTAATTTTGAGTTGAAACAACTTTAGTTGCTTATGCTCAACTTCTAATTTGCTCTCAATCAAAGAAAGCAATAACAGATAATTACAAAGCAGAATATACACACATCAGAAAAAAAAAACTAGAAATCCACACAAACATGTAATATCAAGAACAAAACAAACATAGCCATTGAAAAAGCAGAAATGCCCTCACTCACCTAACCCAAAAAAAAAAAAAAAAAAAAACCGTGGAAAGAAGCACACACTAATGACGTTGGAGCACGGCCCACCACACAAACCTGCAGCTTTCGCTAAATTCGTAGATTAAACTAATCAAAATCAACTGATGAGTTAAACTCGATCAGCCAATTTCATATGTACCAATCTGCCAAACCTAGATGTTTAGCCCCTTGGATGAATGAAAGGGAAAGAAGGAGAGAGAGGGGCACGGCACATACGAAATGTAAAGGATAAATAAAAAATAAAAAGAGATTATTTTCGTATATTTACTTTTAATTTAATATTAAATTTAAGTCACAATTTTTGTAATTCAATTTTATAATTTATTTATTATAAAGTTGTTAAATAATTTTTATAAAATTGATTTCTAAAATTATTAAACATATTTTAATAAAATTTTTGAAATAAAAAGATATATTATAAGAGTTTCGATATTTTGACAACCCATTTTAAACATCCGTTCGACAACCGAATAAAAAAATATTAAATGCACGTTATTACTTGAATAAAAAAATATTAAATGTACAGTATTTTTATTATTAAATAATTCATTCCCTTTAGACCCATCTCTCCTCCTTCTCCGATTCTCATTTTTCTAGCACAGAACTTTCTCATTCCTTCCTCGACCTCGACCTTCCTCACGCGATTGTGAACTTGCCCAACTTGTCAGTCGAACTCACTCACCACCGCATTGTACAATTTTTCCGGCAAAATCGTCAACGTGGTTCCGTTGTCATCAACCACGCCGTCATCCCCTCTGCGGTTCACCCTCGGCAGCATATTCGGCGCACCCTGAAATTATGAGAAAAAAAATTGGCATTTCAAATTTTAAATAATTTTTTTTTTTAAATTGGGACTTTAGATAGCGGTTCTGGGAACCGCTATCTAAACCTACTAAAGAGAGCGGTTCTAGAACTAACCGCTATTAAAAGTATATTTTAGATAGCGGTTAACTTGGAGCCGCTATTATAGGTTCACTTTTAAGAGCGGTCAAAATATTAACCGCTCTTAAAAGTGACACATATATGATAGCGGTTCCACTTTAACCGCTCTTAAAAGTGAAAGTGAATTAGATATCGCTCAAGCGAGACTAGTGTCGCTCAAGCGAAATACAACCCAAGAATCCCAATTTTTTGCAGGTGGTGTCGCTCGAGCGATGTAAATTTCGCTTGAGCGAATGTTGACCTGGGACTAAACGTTGATCAAAGTTAGCCGCATAATGTAACATGGGTGACCACATGTTTGAATCGGATATCGCTCGAGCGAGAATATTGTCGCTCAAGCGAAACACAACCCGAGAATCCCCATTCTTAGCAGGTGGCGTCGCTCGAGCAATGTGAATTTCGCTTGAGCGATATTAGAAAAATCAGATAATATGATCGATTATTTTAGGTTACAATCGATTATACGTTATGATGATCGATTATAAGTGGTATATGATCGGTTATATTTTGCTAATGAAGTCAAATCCGTTATTAACAAAGTATTGGGTGTCAAGAATCTTTGGGGTTATCACCTCCCTCGTGGTCACATTTAGGGTACTTGAAGAAGTGGCTTCTCACGCTTAGAGCTTTTTCTTTTGACAGTCATGGTTTATGTTTACGACTGAGATAGTCAATAGTCAACAGTGAACGAAAAACACAGATAAGATAATCAGAGTAAGATTGCTTTACTCTAGCCAATGATAAAATTTATTGGGCGCAGGTGCATTCATTTTCAAGGGATGGAACGACAGAAGTGTTTCAACCATGTATTTGAATGCTTACAGCATTAGACCAAAGAAGTGCATGATATTCCCCACACACACCGAATCAATGAGGAAGTCAAAATCAGCATTAACAGAACTCCATCCAGACCGCGAAAGCATCACTACAGACACTCTCCTAGACTCCAACCAAACAATCCAAACTCAAATCGCAAACTGTAAACAAGAAATCAAAAGAGAAAGGGAGAAACCTCACTTAGGCCTGCGAACCACCAACCTCCAGGTTGACTCGCAGTGGCTAGGGAGTGTGAGTCACTGCCAGGGCTCCGCGGTTGGGCCTGGATTGGCTCAGGGCGAGAGGTTTTGGTGCGACGGGTGAAGTTTTGGCTAGTGTGGGCGGCGCGATTGGAGTCTCTGCGGTGGCTAGGGATTAGAGTGTGAGAAGGAGAGGGGGTGAGGCTGGAAATAGTGCGCCGTGATGGGAGAGAGAGCGGAGGTTCGTTGCGGTAGTGCTTGTGGGTATGGTGGTGACCGGAGCTGAGGGAGGAAGCTAGGATTTAGTGTGGATGGGTTGTTGGGAATGTGGGTGAGAATGAAGGTAGTGGGGCGGTGGTTGGGTGGTGGGAATGGTTCCAGGAGGCTGGGAAAATGATTAGGATGGCGAGTGAGGTGCGGGTTAACCTGGAAGCGGTGGATGAGGGGGCCTAGCCGCGGGAGATGAGGGTGTTGGGCGAAGTGATGGTGGTGAGCTAGGGTGAATGGAGGAGGGACCGGGAGGCGATTTAGAAGGTGAAGATGCGGTGCTGCTGGGAGAAGATAAGGGAAGGGGAAGAGAATGAGATGAAAGGTGAGTGAAGGTTGGGTGATTGTGTGAAGCGGGAGGGGCTCAGAAGAATGAATGAGAGCAAAGCCACCAGTGCAAGGAAGAGGAGAAAAAAAAGGGTGAAATCTGGTTCTGGAAAAATGGCTCCAATGTTGTATTTGTGCGGCTCCTTCCCCATTTTTCACTATTACTCCTTTCTAAAGAACAATTTCTTTAGGTCAAAGAGTAAAAGGAAATAGGTTCAAAAAGAGATGAAAAAAATTTAAAATAAATTAGAGATGAAAACTTTTATTTACAATTATTTATTATTATTTTTTTAATATTTTTTCATTTTTTTATAACATTTTTTAAAATATAAAATATTAATAAGAATTTTTTTTTTTGTAATTTTTTATATTTTTTAAATAAACACTATTATTTATTATTATATTTTTTTATGTACCCGAGAAAATGGGTACTGACACCTAATAAGTTCGCCACATCAATTTTAGTACGAATATAATTAAGAAAAATCAAATTCCTATAAATGAAAGATAGATAATTTATTAGTTAAAAATAAGTGTTAAACTCTAACTATTAATCATAAAATGTTAATTACCACTTTTATGTTGATAATTATTTGTAATTATGTTGCAAGTAAGTTTAAAAATAAATTGTAAAAAGGAAGGTACGTACCATTTAAAATATTTTGTCTCAATAAATAAAAAGACATTTCGTCTGGTGGAGTTGGAAATTTGTATTAAAAAAAATAAATGTAGATGAAAAAACTCCTCGCCTTATTTTTTGAATTTATAAATTTTTGAAAATTTTTTATGTGGAAAGATATTTTGACTATCAATATTTAATATTAAACTTTAAATATTATAAAATAATTATAAATATTGTTAATCCAAAAAAAATTGATCTTAATATTTTTTTTAATTTAGAAATATAATATTAATTATAGAATATTACTCTACTTATTTATTCTTAACTCGTGATTTTTTAGTTGGTTATCCAATTTTTATTTTATAATGGTGATTTTAATCTTTTTGTTTATTGCCCAATTTTTATTTTCAAGTAGGTGAGTTTGTTACCTAATTATTCGCTATATAAAACAGTAACGCCGCCATAAAAGTGTAACAGTGAAAGTCTCACATAACCTAGACTTTCAAACACTCAGACATTCATTTTTGCTTTCAAATGGCATACAGCCTTCGTTTTTCAGTAATAACAACTCTCGTCCTTTTATTTATCGTCGTGGCGGCGCTTCCGGCTGCGGCGAAGCAATGCGACGCCAAATTTGAGGGAGGCTGTCGCGATAAGGCGGAGTCGCTGAAGCTAAAGGTGATAGCGATATTCTGTATACTTGTGTCGAGTGTGATCGGGATTTCACTCCCGCTGTTTTCCCGTTCAGTTCCCAAACTGCAACCCGACGGCGACCTCTTCGTTCTAGTGAAGGCTCTCTCCTCCGGCGTCATACTCGCCACCGGTTACATGCACGTGATGCCGGACTCTTTCAATGATCTCACGTCAGGGTGCCTGCCGGAACATCCGTGGCGGAAGTTTCCGTTCACCACCTTCATCGCCATGCTCTCCGCGATTCTCACTCTCGTCATTGATTCCTTCTCCATCAGTTTCTTTAAGAAGAAGCTCGCTGCCGCTAATACCGCTAACGGTTCCGGTACCGCTTCCATTGAAGCCGGAGAGAGAAAGGAAGTGGAACTATTTGGCGATGGTGATGTCCATGGCCATGCAATTAGAGATGCAAAAAAGGTGGATGCTGAACAGTTACTGCGGTACCGTGTTGTGGCTCAGGTTAGTTTTAAAAAATAAATTACATGTCAAAGTTTAAATTACACATTTATATTTTTCTCAAATTAATTCTAGTTTTTTTTCTTGTACCAATTGCTTTAAAAAAATAAAAAAATATTACATTGTTATTTATTCATGCATTATATACACGTATCATATATACATTGGCTTGAATTTAAAAACATTAAGAAATGTAATTGTAATTTATTAACTATAACTTTAATTTCAAATTTACCTTCACATAACACGATATTTGGTAGCTACCTTCTAAATGTTTAAGGGTATGACATATGAATACGAAATATTTAACAGATATAAATTTAGATTAAAATGTCCTTATTTATTGATGATTAATCTAGGATAATAGATAGTGATTTGAAATAGTTATATATAATTTAGAAAAAAAATTATGTTTTTAAAATCTAAATTATGAATTGTTGTGAAAAAAATAGTTAAATGATTAAAAGTATAATGGGGAAGTAATAAATTGTAGTTATATTTTAAATTATACAACCTGTTATCTTGTTTTTATATCTTATATCATATTACTCGTCTCTCCTTCTCTTACTCTTGTTTTGGAGGATTTAATTTGATGATTTCATGTGGCATGTGAAATGGTTAAGATGTTGGAACTAGGGATTGTGGTACACTCAGTGGTGATTGGTTTGTCACTGGGAGCTTCCGTGAACCCGTGCACCATTAGGCCTCTCATTGCTGCGCTGTGCTTCCATCAAATGTTTGAAGGAATGGGCTTAGGTGGTTGCATACTTCAGGTGATTCATCTTATCTTCAAAAGTGTAGTTTTCTGATTTATTGATGGTATCTTGTGATGCACCAGCCCAATCTATTCATATTCATAGATATTCGATACCATTTATCTCGATATTTATAAAATTTATATAAAAAGAAAATAAAAAAATCTAAATAAAAATAAAATAATAAATATTTTCCTGTTATTATTATTTTTAAATTAATAAAACGGACAAAAGTTATTATTATTTTCTATTTCTAAATAATAAGTAGTTATTATTAATTTTTATTTTTTTAAGTCGGATATCCGATACTCGTGTGTGCATCATAGACACTATCTAAAGAAGTGAGTGAGTGTAGTTTGTTCATCTGTGACAGGCTGAATATGGAATGAAGATGAAAGCTATTTTGGTTTTCTTTTTCTCTACGACAACGCCCTTTGGGATTGCATTGGGGATCGCATTGTTGAATGTGTATAGCGACACGAGTTCAACCTCGCTTATCGTGGAGGGGGTTCTGAATGCTGTATCTGCAGGACTTTTGAACTATATGGCGCTTGTTGAACTATTGGGTTCTGATTTTATGGGGCCTAAGCTACAAGGGAGTACAAAGCTCATGGTTTTGGCTTTTCTGGCAGTTTTGTTAGGTGCAGGGGGCATGTCAGTCATGGCAATATGGGCATAGATATTGAAATTTTATTTTGTGGATTAGAAATTCATTGTCATGGCAATGGCAATATGGGCATAGATTTTGAAATTTCATTTTTTTAGTAGAAACTAATTGCTTCATTTTATAGCACGTTCAATTTATTTTATAAAAAATTTACCTAAAAATTGATTTTGTGGTTACACAGAAACGGCGGTTTGATTTTGTGGTTACACAGAAACGACGGTTTAATTTTGTGGTTACGCAAAAATGCTGGCGACTTTGTGACGAATTGAAATTATTCTTAATTTTTTTATTAAAACCTAATTTTTTTATTAAAACCTGGCGAGTTCATAATGAATTTTGTGGTTACATAAAAATAGTGGCAAGGTTGTGACTAATTGAAATTATTCTTAATTTTTTATTAAAACCTAATTTTTTTATTAAAATCTGGAGAGTTTATAACGAATTAAAATTATTCTTATAAAAAAAAGAATTTATTAAAACATACTATGATATAATTTAAATAATCAATTTATCCAATTAGATAATTTAATTAATTGATTAAAGTTAATCAATTAATTATCAATAAATATAATTTTTTATATTTAATGTATTGATATAAAAATTATTGAGTTAATATAAAAAGTAAGACATAGTTAATTTTTTAGATTTTATTAAATTATCATGGAGCTTGGTAACATATCCTTATCATTTATATTAATTAACTTAAATTTTCTATTATATATATATATATATATATATATATATATTTCTTACTGTAAAATTTATAATAAATATTAAATACTTAGTAATATAATAATCAAAATTTAACCAATTTTCTGCTTAAACCTTCGAACAAAAAGGAGTAAAAAATATCGATTTTATTTATTTTGTAAGACATCTTTCATAAACAAGCTTCTTTAAAATTAAATAGCTATATAGAAATATATATCTATTTGCAAATTTGTATGAATATTACGTTAATAACAATAGAAACTATATAAATACTTATTTTAAAATTAGTTTACTTTTTTACAATAGAAACTATATAAATATTTATTTAAAATTAGTTTACTTTTTTACATATATGTATAGATTTAACTTTATTTATGTATCAAAATCTATATAATCGTATTAATTTATCAAACTCTATATAATCCTATTAATATATGTTCATAATTTTTCTTTTAAAACAATTTTTCCATAAAGTAAAGAAATGTTAATTAATTAATAAAAAGTTAATTCAGTAAAAAAAATTTAATTATGGAATATTACCTTAATTATTATTTTTTCAAGTATAAGAGTGATTTTTTTAGTTTTGTTACCCATGTTTTCTGCCACTAGTATGGTTGTAAATGAAAAAGTTGTGTAGCACTTCCGTCGAACTCAAATTGAGAAAGTATGTGGGAGCCACGTGTAGCACACGCCATACACGAGTATCTCACATTCTTCACAAAAATACCCCTCAAAGTCATTTGCTTTCATGTTTAGTCACACCTCCACAAAGGCTAAAAGTGTAATTTTATAGGTTAAATCATTCGACGGTGCTCAATGATACTGTCATTCTCATCCTTTCTTAGGGTATATAAGGACCTTCAATTTCATGCACTTACACACTCAATTATAGTTTCAAATGGCCGTTAACAACCATCATTGTTCAGTTGTAACAACTTTCATTATTTTATTTCAAGTTACAACGACGCTTTCAGATAAGGTGGAGCAATGCAACTCCAAACATGAAGGACGCTGCCGCGACAAGGCTGAGTCGCTGAAGCTTAAGGTCATAGCGATATTTTGTAAAGTCTTTCACCTCAAACGGCATACTTGCTATCGATTACATGTATGTTATGTCCAACTCCTTTGAATATCTTATGTCGGACTGCCTACTGGAACCACCGTGGCGGAAGTTTCCATTTTCCACCTTCATCGCCATGATCTCTGCGGTCCTCACTCTCGCCATTGATTCATATTCCATCAACTTCTTTAAGAAGAAACTCACTGTCACGGCGGTTTCAGTGCTCTTGAAACCGGAGAGGTAAAGGAATTCGATCATGTGATGAACATGATTTGCATGCACATGGCCGTGAACTTGATTTGCATGCACATGACCCTGAACTTGATTTGCATGCACATGCAAATGGAGATGCGAAAAACGTGTATATAGAACAGTTGTTGTGGAACCGAATTGTAACTTGGTTAGTTACTTTTTTCAATACCAAAACAAAATTATTGTAATTTTAAAATTTAAAATTTAATTATGTTATCAAGTTTAAATAAAATATCAACTTATTTATATCTATATTTTCTCACATTATATTAAAATTATAGTTTTATTTTTTTAATTCTATATACATATCTTTTCAAAAGTTTACTCATCATTCATTTTTATATTACACATACATCTTTTTTTAAGTTTTAAAAATATTAATTTTATTTTTTTATATTGAAAGAAAAAATAAAAATTAATTTGAAATTTTTGTACGTTGAAAACGAATTTAAGGACGTGCAATTAATATTAGTGTTAATTTTAAATTTACCTTCAAATTACTCATTGATTCTATTCTTTTTAACTCTTAAGTTAATGGTGAATTTATAACAAAGATTAAATGCTTAATGATTAATATAATAATATAATAATCAAAATTGAACAAAATTTTTACTTAAACCTTCAAATAAAAAGGTAAGAAATATCAATTTTATTTATTTTGTAAGACATATTTCATAAATTATCTTCTTTAAAATTAAATAGCTATATAGATATATATATCTATTTGCAAATTTGTATAAATATTACGTTAATAACAACAGAAACTATATAAATACTTATTTTAAAATTATTTTACTTTTCTACATATATGTATAGATTTAACTTTATTTATGTATCAAAATATATATAATCATATTAATATATCAAACTCTATATAATCATATATTTTCTAATCATGTAGTTTTTCTTTTAAAACAATCTTTCCATAGAGTAAAGAAATGATAATTAATTAACAAAAAGTTAATTCAGTAGAAAAATATTGTAACATCGTATAAGAAAATTTTATTATTTATTTTTATATTTTTAACAAGCATTAAAATTAACAATATTAATCATGGAATATTACCTTAATTATTTTTTTTTCAAGTATAATAGTGGTTTTTTAATTTTTTTGTCAATATTTTTTGCCACGAGTATGGTTGTAAAATAAAAAATTGCAAAGTATGTAACACTAACGTCACCATCCAACTTAAATTGAGAAAGTCTGTGGGAGCCACGTGTAGCACACGCCATACACGAGTATCTCACAAAAATACTCCTCAAAGTCATTTATTTTCATGTCTAGTCACACCTCCGCAAAGGTTAAAAGTGTAATTTTATCAGTTACGTCATTGGACGAGTGCTCAATGATATTGTCATTCTCATCCTTTCCTAGGGTATATAACGACCATCAATTTCATGCACTTACACACTCAATTATAGTTTCAAATGGCCGTTAACAACCATCATTGTTAAGTTGTAACAACTTTTATTATTTTATTTCAAGTTGCAATGGCGCTTTCAGATAAGGTGGAGCAATGCGACTCCAAACATGAAGGACGCTGTCGTGACAAGGCTGAGTCACTGAAGCTGAAGGTCATAGCGATATTTTGTAAAGGCTTTCGCCTCAGACGTCATACTTGCTATCGGTTACATGCATGTTATGTCCAACTCCTTTCAATATCTTATGCCAGACTGCCTACGGGAACGGCCGTGGTGGAAGTTTCCATTTACCACCTTCATCGCCATGATCTTCGCGGTCCTCACTCTCGCCATTGATTCATATTCCATCAACTTCTTTAAGAAGAAACTCACTGCCACAACCGTTAACGGTTCCAGTTCTCTTGAAACCGGAGAGGTAAAGGAAGCAGAATTCACTACAAGAAAAATTATGATTACCTACAACACAAATCCGAATGTAAGCAAGAAAATCCATAGATAAATTTAGATTATCTATGAATTATCTACGGACAAAAATCCGTAGGTAAATTCCTCGTAGGTAATAATTACCTACGTATTTTCAATATTCATAGATAATTACCTACGGATATATCCGTAGGTAATATCCGCAGGTAATTACCTACGGATGTATTCGTATGTAATATTCGCAGGTAATTACTTATGGATGTATTCATATGTAATTACCTACGGATATATCCGTAGGTAATTACCTACGGATATATCCGCAGGTAATTACCTACAGATATATCCACAGGTAATATCTGTATAGGTAATTACCTACGGATATATCTGTAGGTAATTACCTACGTATATATCCGTAGGTAATTGAAGTATCTACTACTCTCCATTCTTTTTGCATTATTCTGATTGCATTGACCTGGACATTAAATGATATATAAAATTATCTAGATACACAAGTTCATAACCAGAAAAAATAAAATGATATATAAAATAACATAACAATTTATTGTTCCAATACAAAATAAAAACCTCAAATATATCCAAATATAATGAAACATATCCTATAGAATTTCGTAAAATACTAATAATCCATATAATCATCATCTGCATCCTTCTGTTGATCTTGATTTTGTTGTTCGGTATTTGGTTCTGCAACCTTCTATTGATCTCCATTATCTTGATTAATTGGTTGTTGCAAAATGTTTTGTGTTGTCGCTGCTGCTGGAGGTGGTAAGTATTGAAGGACTGTGCCAATGAATGCCTGGATGGACTCAAACTGGGAGCTCATCATACAAATTTTTTCCTCACTACTTTCCAATCGCTGCTCACTACTTTCCAGTCGTTGTGTCAGTTGACTAATTTTTTGTGAATCAGCTTTCTGACTGGAGCACGCTTCTGTCTGTTGTAGATAACTTTCAACACAATCATCACTAGAGTCAACATGACCAACTCCATACACGCGTCCCTTATACCTTCCTCCTGCAGCCTATAACCAGCATTTATTCATTAGCCTTTCCTCTTCAACAGGGTCTAGGGGAGTGCATTGTGAAGCACCCGCATTAGAAGTTGACTCAGACAATACTCGAGAGTATCTACTCTCAAAGTCTTCCTGTTCAAACAAGACAATTTGTACATGTGTCTTTTAAATAATAAAAAACTTTAAGATTTAATGGAAGAAACTCACATGTGTCCGCCTAGTCCTATCATCGATGAATTCGTTAGATAGAAATGAGAGTGGTCCTATAACATTTCCATTTGACCAAGGTCAATAGTCAACGAAAATAAAAGTTTGAGAATGTTAAATATGTTGAATGTTAAATAATACCAACACAAGATGAAGGTGGCACCAGTTTATTGGTCTCCAATTCAAAACTCTCTCAACTTTTCACGTTTAAGGAAAAACTCATAAAATCTGCAGAAAAAAAAGAGGAAATAAGAAAAGAAAAAAGAGACAAAAGGGAACCCAAAAGGCCAATATTCAAATCAATATATGACTGGTCAAAGAACTATGGAATCTTAGAACTAAATTTTCAACGAAGTAGACAAGTTCAAAAGAAAAGACATAAAAGATAGAAAAACAGTTGTGATTGAAATTCTTATGTTGGGGAACCACTAGTGATAAAGCGGGTCACAGTTTAATTCTGATTCTTTCTGACACAGTTATATTAGGTTAAAAAACTATTACTACATATAGAATTATGATAATATAAGATTACAGTTGCATATATTAATAGAATTAGTAATAAAAAATATATACTTTAGATCTAAAGAGTGTTTGTTACACACTTTACCTCCTACTCCAATTTTTTTTTTTTGCATTGTAACACAAATAGGATACTAAAGAAATTCCCTAAACTGGTTGCTAGAAGAAAACGGAATGCACAAGGAGGCCACAAGAAATAGAGACAAAAGGAGAATTATAAACACCTTGTTATAACCAACACAATTTATATAAATACATTTTTAGCACCTCAGTTTAAATTTAGATCCCCATGGTCTAAAAGTTTAGTTTTTAGTCCTTGATTAAAGCAATTATTGGAATGAAAAATGTATTTAAACCTATTCATTGATTTAAGAGATTTTATAGGTTGTCATACTCATGAAATTGATGGCATCCTAACTTATTTGGTCAAGAAAAGAAAAGAAACAAACAGGAAAAAGTAAAATGAAGGAAACATACCTCCTTAGTGTTCATATGACATCACATTACATCCCATACCATAAAAATTATCAACATTTCTTTTGAACATGACAGAAACAGTTTTCCTATGATCTAGTATATTGATGTTAAAATCTTAAGGAGTATTAAGATAAAAAGTATATTTTCAAAGCCATGGTCTTGAGAGGTGACTACGAGTGATACTAGGTCGCTAGGTCTGAGAAATATAACAAGGTTCACATAGGGAATCAAGAATCTGATACATTTTGGCAAAACCTAGAATACTACCAAATAAATTTAGAATTCAACTTAACAGCAACTTTAAAGCAAAAACGCATTGCCTTGCTCCTTGACTGAAACAACTATTGGGATGAAAAATGTATTTAAACCTATTCATTGATTTAAGAGATTTTATAGGTTGCCATACTCATGAAATTGATGGCATCCTAACTTATTTGGTGAAGAAAGAAAAGAAACAAACAGGAAAAAGTAATATGAAGGAAACATACCTCCTTAGTGTTCATATCACATCAGATCCCATACCATAAAAATTATCAATATTTCTTCTGAACATGATAGAAACAGTTTTCCTATGATCTAGTAGATTTATGGTAAAATCTTAAGGAATATTAAGATAAAAAGGATATTTTCAAAGTCATGGTCTTAAGAGGTGACTACGAGTGATACCTAGGTAGCTAGGTCTGAGAAATATAACAAGGTTCACATAGGGAATCAAGAAGCTGATACATTTTGGCAGAACCTAGAATACTACTAAATAAATTTAGAATTCAACTTAACAGCAACTTTAAAGCAAAAACGCATTGTCTTGCTCCTTGACTGAAGCAACTATTGGGAAGAAAAATGTATTTAAACCTATTCATTGATTTAAGAGATTTTATAGGTTTCCATACTCATGAAATTGATGGCATCCTAACTTTTTGGTGAAGAAAGAAAATAAACAAACAGGAAAAAGTAAAATGAAGGAAACATACCTCCTTAGTGTTCATATCACATCACATCTCATACCATAAAAACTATCAACATTTATTTTGAACATGACAGAAACAGTTTTCCTATGATCTAGTAGATTGATGGTAAAATCTTAAGGAGTATTAAGATAAAAAATATATTTTTAAAGCCATGGTCTTGAGAGGTGACTACGAGTGATACCTAGGTCGCTAGGTCTGAGAAATATAACAAGGTTCACATAAGGAATCAAGAAACTGATACATTTTGGCAGAACCCATAATACTACCAAATAAATTTAGAATTCAACTTAATAACAACTTTAAAGCAAAAAACGCATTGCCTTGCTCCTCACGGCAGAGTAACCTTGAAAGGAATTGAGAAAAGTCTTCTACTCCATTGAAATAATTACACACTAAACATCATACCAGACAGGGTTACAATACAAAGATATATAAGTCAAATAACTTTAATAAGAATCAAAGTATATTGCAGAGAAGGTAAAAGTAGGGATGAATCAAAGTTTTATTTGCCTGTAACATCCAAATAATCACATTTAAGAAATAAAATTGAATATCCGAACCAGCTAAGCCATAATCAACTATAGTAACATATGAAAAATAACATTTAAAGTTGTCATTGATCCAAAGTTAGAAAGCATCCAACCACACAAGCAATAATGCATGACAGTGTCAGCCCCAAACCCGATAATCCACAGATCCCGTAAAAACTCAATTTATATACAAGAACTGATCATAAATCAAGCAAACCAAATGAAACATTTCATACAACTCAAATCAAGAACAATAAACAAAAAATCAAAAAGAGAAAGGAAAACTTAGGCCTGCGACCCTTACTTCTAACCACCAATCTCCAAGTTGACTTGCAATGTCTAGGGGGGGCGCGAGTCACAGTTAGGGCTCTGCGGTTGGGTTGGGGTGATAACGTCTAGGGCTTCGCTGGGATGCAGAGGCAGCAGAGGAGGTGAGGGAAAAGGTGTTAGCGCGAGCTAGGGCTGTGGAGTTCAAGTGAAGGGTTGAGGAAGATTGAAAATGGAGCTCAGTGAGGGGTGCTCGGGAAAGAGGGGTGCGAGTGGCTGAGTTGTTGAGAGGAGCCGAGAAAAGAGTGAGGCAGAGGGAAGAGGAAATGAGGGAAAAGGGAAAGTGAAGGTGCAGGGAGAGTGGGGCTGCTCCGCGGGGAAGAAGCTGTAAGGAAGAAGAGCAAGGCAGAGGGAGCTAGGGCTGGAAAGTGGAGGTCTGGCTGAAATTTTTTTTTTCCTTATATGTTTTTTACTACTAATTACTTACTAATTTTATTTTTTAATATTTTCTAATAAAATTCGTATGTAAAGTATGACTTCATTACATACGGATTTTATTGTCATTACCTACGAATTTCATCCTTCGAACGTTCCCACCTAAACGCGCCAACATTACATACGGATAATACCTACGGACTACTGTAACGTACAATTTTATATATGGATAAAAATTCGTAGATAAAATCCGTAGGTAATTTATAATTTATCTACGGATATAGATCCATAGGTAAATATTAACAGGTAATTGATAAATTTCTTGTAGTGATTGTTCGATCATGTGATGAACATGATTTGCATGCACATAGCCGTGAACTTGATTTGCATGCACATGACCATGAACTTGATTTGCATGCACATGCGAAAAACGTGTATATAGAACATTTGTTGTGGAACTGAGTTGTAACTAGGTTAGTTACTTTTTTCAATACCAAAACAAAATTATTGTAATTTTAAAATCTAAAATTTAATTATATTGTTAAGTTTAAATAAAATATCAACTTATTTACGTCTATATTTTCTCACATTATATTAAAATTATAGTTTTATTTTTTTAATTCTATATACATATCTTTTCGAAAGTTTATGTCACCATTCATTTTTATATTACACATACATCTTTTTTAAGTTTTAAAAATATTAATTTTATTTTTTTACATTGAAAAAAATAAAAATTAATTTGAGATTTTTGTACGTTGAAAAAGAATTTAAGGACGTGCAATTAATATTGGTGTTAATTTTAAATTTACCTTCAAATTACTCATTGATTCTATTCTTTTTAACTCCGAAGTTAATGGTGAATTTATAACAAAGATTAAATGCTTAATAATTAATATAATAACATAATAATTTAAATTGAACAAATTTTTTACTTAAACTTCAAATAAAAAGGTAAGATATCAATTTTGTTTATTTTGTAAGACATACTTCATAAATTATCTTCTTTAAAATTAAATAGCTATATAGAAATATATATCTATTTGCAAATTTGTGTAAATATTACGTTAATAACAATAGAAACTATATAAATACTTATTTTAAAATTATTTTACTTTTCTACATATATGTATAGATTTAACTTTATTTATGTATCAAAATATATATAATCATATTAATATATCAAACTCTATATAATCATATATTTTATAATCATATAATTTTTCTTTTAAAACAATCTTTCCATAAAGTAAAAAAATGTAAATTAATTAACAAAAAGTTAATTCAGTAAAAAAATAATGTAACATCATATAAGAAAATTTTATTATTTATTTTTTATATTTTTAACAAGCATTAAAATTAACAATATTAATTATGTAATATTACCTTAATTATTATTTTTTTCAAGTATAATAGTGGTTTTTTAATTTTGTTGTCCATGTTTTTTGTCACCAGTATGGTTGTAAAAGAAAAAGTTACAAAGTAGGTAACACTTACATCATCATCCAACTTAAATTGAGAAAGTCTATGGGAGCCAAGTGTAGCACACGCCATGCACGAGTATCTCACATTATTCACAAAAATACCCTTCAAAGTCATTTACTTTCATGTCCAGTCACACCTCCGTAAAGACTAAAATTGTAATTTTATCAGTTAAGTCATTCGTTGCGTGCTCCATATTATTGTTATTCTCATCCTTTCCTAAGGTATATAACCTTCAATTTCATGCACTCACACATTCAATTATAGTTTTAAATGACAGTTAACAACCATCATTGTTCAGTTATAACAAATTTCATTATTTTATTTCTTGTTGCAGCGACACTTCAGTCAAGGTGGAGCAATGCGGCTCCAAACATGAGGGACGCTGTCGCGACAAGACAAAGTCGTTGAAGCTGAAGGTCATAGCGATGTTTGGTAAAGGATTTTGCCTTAGGCGTCATAATTGCTATCGGTTACATGTACATTATGCCCAACTCCTTTCAATATCTTATGTCGGACTGCCTATCGGAACAACCGTGACGGAAGTTTCCATTACCACCTTCATTGTCATGATCTCCGCGATCCTCACTCTCGCCATTAATTCATATTCCATCAGTTTCTTTAAGAAGAAGCTCACTGCCATTACCGTTAACGGTTCCAGTTCTCTTGAAACCGGAGAGGTAAAGGAAGCATAATTGTTCGGTCATGTGATGAACATGATTTGCATGCACATGGCCGTGAACTTTGGATGCACATGACCATGAATTTGATTTGCATGTACGTGCAAATGGAGATGCGAAAAACGTGGATATAGAACAGTTGTTGTGGAACCGAGTTATAGCTTGGTTAGTTAGTTTTTTCAATACCAAAACAAAATTATTGTAATTTTAAAATTTAATTATGTTGTCAAGTTTAAATAAAATATCAACTTATTTACGTCTATATTTTCTCACATTATATTAAAATTATAGTTTTATTTTTTTAATTCTATATACATATCTTTTCAAAAGTTTACATCACCATTCATTTTTATATTTCACATACATCTTTTTTAAGTTTTAAAAATATTAATTTTGAAATTTCATTTTTTGAGGAGAAACTAATTGCTTCATTTTATATCATTTTATAGCACGTTCAATTTATGTTATTAAAAATTTACCTACTTGGATTAATCTTGATCAGATCTTTATTAATAAAAAAATTGATTTTGTGGTTAAAAAAATTGATTCTGTGGTTACATACAAATTACGGTTTGATTTTGTGGTTACATATAAATAACGGTTTGATTCTATGGTTACATAGAAATGACGGTTTGATTATGTGGTTACATAGAAATATAGAAATGACGGTTTAATTTTGTAGTTACATAGAAATAACAATTTGATTTTGTGGTTACATAGAAAAGATAGTTTGATTTTGTGGTTACGTAGAAATGACAGTTTGATTTTGTGGTTACGTAGAAATGACGGTTTAATTTTGTGGTTACATCAAAATAGCGGTTTGATTTTGTGGTTACATAGAAATAACGGTTTGATTTTGTAGTTACATAGAAATGGCGGTTTGATTTTGTGGTTACATAGAAATGACGGTTTGATTTTGTAGTTACGTAGAAATGGTAGTTTAATTTGTGGTTACATAGAAATGACGGCGAGTTTGTGACGAACTGAAATTATTCTTAATTTTTTTATTAAAATCTTGTGAGTTTGTAACAAATTAAAATTATTTTTATATAAAAAAAAGAATTTATTAAAACATACTATTGTTTTGATTAGGGTAGAAGGATGTTAAACTATTTGTAAACATATTATATTTTATTTTTTACATATTATTAACTACTTTTCCTAACAAATCCATTTTAACATTATATTTTGTTATGAGATTTTTTAGTTAAATGAACAAATAACTAAGAAAATATAAACTTATGTTAAAGATGATTGTTTTTTCAATTTCCAAACCCATATTTAATAGATAATAAAACTAATAACATCATTTTTTTAATATTCTACATCAATATTAGTAGTAACTATCATAATTTTATTTCTAATTTATTTTTATTAGATTTTATTATATTATATTTTTTATTTTATTATTCCTATTAATTACATATCAAATTTTCTTAATAAAATTATTATATTTTGAAGGATTAAAAAGAATAGATAATTTAAACTTTTATGACTTTGAACTAATTAAATAAAAATTAACTTATTAAATATTACCGTATTAACTGTATATTTCATATTTATAAATATTTTATAATGATAATTTAAAAAATAATTAAATTATATATAATTAAATATTTATATATAATATTATAAGATATAATAATAATAATAATAATAATAATAATAATAATAATAATAATAATAATAATAGTATAAGTATTTTATATTAATTAAAGAAAAATGATTAAATATTTCATTTTCATATATATTTTAATAAAATAAATTAAAATATATACTCAATTAATAATAATAATTAAATGTTATAAATATATATTTTATAAAAAATATATTTAAAATTTAATTTATTATAAAAATAATTATTTTTTAAAAATAATTTAAAAAAAAGCACGAAATCAATCGGAAACAAAATAAAGAATTTATTTTTAACCATAAAGTTAGACAACAACGCTTCAAAAAGTCATAGAGAAAGATTAAGAAAGTAAAATCCAACCAAGTTGCCATGCATATACATTTTTATCCATGATCACATTTTCCATTGTTTATGCAATATTTACTGTTATGCATATTTTATTGTATACTATTGCATAAAATTTGAAAAAAATGCAATAGTAAGAAATAATTGAAAAATATATTATATAATTTAAATAATCAATTTATCGAATTAGATAATTTAATTAATGGATTAAAGTTAATCAATTAATTATCAATACATATAATTTTTTATATTTAATATATTGATATAAAAATTATTGAATTGTATTTTTAAAAAATATATTTCTAATTGTTGAATCCAAAATATATTTTTAAGAAATACAGTTCGAAAATGTGGTCTGAAAAACATAATTTAAAACTCGTTTATAGATTTTATTTTCTGAAAATATATTTCAAAAATGATTTGAAATTAATTTTTTGAATATATTCTAAAAAATACAATCCAAAAATACGTTCTAAAAAAATTAATTTAATAAACTTTTTAAACATATTTATATAAAGATAATATTATCATTTTAAATAAATATAAAAATTTTAATATAACAATTATCATTAAATAAAAATTTGGTATGTAATGATTTTTCTATCTTTCATTTTACTGAGTAAAGTTAAGTAGGTTTTGTGCTTTATTTATTTTTTAATAATAATTTTGTCACTAATTGAACTTCACAAATAAATAATAATATATTAATGTTACTATTTAAAATATAACAAAAAAATAGAGATAATGATATCATTATGTTGTTGAGTTGAAACATGTAACGAAGAGATATTCTGAATTCAAAAGTTAATTAATATAAGATATGAGTAGAAATGAGAAAAGTTAATTAATATAAGATATGAGTAGAAATGAGAAAAAAGATACCCGAAATATCCTAGTGAGGTAACTTTAAATATAAAATAAATCAAGCTAAGAGAACACAATTTTATTTTTTAATCCTTACCAATACAATGATTTCATTTCCAAAGAAAAGTATATTTTATATTTTTTCAATTTGCATTATTTTTTATAATTTTTAGAAAAATATATATACCAAATTAATAAATGATAAAAATTAAAAAAAAAACTCATTAAGATGTAAAAATGACTATTTTAGAGAGACTGATCGTTTTTGTAGGAATGATTATTTTAGAATTTTTCTATAATTAACATGTAAATATATTTCTAGAATTTATATACTTCACAGTAAAATGATTATTTCCTATTCATTTTCCTAGTTTATTTCTTCCAAAAATCGAAGGGTTTGAAATAGATTATTGCTAACAATCGCACACCTCTCCACCACGTTGTTCTCCAATTAAAGGGTTACAACAATGTGACGGAGGTTCCATGATCAAATTACTTTTCAGGACCACAACGATATGTTTTGATAAAAGGCTTGAAATAAAACAAGTACCTTTTCTTATAATCATTGTAAGAAAATAGAACTTAATCAAATAGTCTAAATTTTGAATCCTATTGATATTAATATATAAGTAGAATAAACTATGTAAGGAGAAGAATGCTCCACATGGTAAGTCTCCCCATGTGGCAGTTGCCAATGGCAACTCCAATTCGCAGTGTGTTTAGGTAATTTAATCATATCAAATTGTTGTCATTTTAGACTGAACGAGACAATTAAGTACGACACTTTTATTAATTTAAACAACTGAAAAGAGACAGTACTTATGCCTTGTACAAACAAATACTGTATCAGTTGGAAGAGAATTTGTCTACCATTCTACATTGCAATCTGGATTGCTACACAACTTAACCATGTAATCCCAACTTATAAATTCCATAGATTATTGGTGATAGATATCCTTGACGACCTGAGGGTTACTCTTTCTTGATACCAATTGAACTGAACCACAAACCCCGACAGGGACATTCTCAAAGCAAGCAGCATAGTAATGTTTGAATTTAGAGATCACTACTAGTTACCAAATGAACACCAATGCTCACATAATTAATGCCTTTATGACATGTGTGGTTGTTACTTACACGTAAACCAAAAATACCATTGAGTATGTATTTATCACTTTTTTTCCCTAACTTCAAAAATTGTTCTTGACTTGTAGGTGAATGAGTATTGCCCATTTTTATCATACTAGTAACCTGTGAGGTACATGCATGAAATGAAGAATATAAGATTTCAACATGGCGAGCTTATTATAAAAACTAGAAGTGTAAAAGAAATTTTAGTCAGGACTTACTGTTTGTACTCCATTAACAAATATATGAAACATATGCCCATTGGAGTTCATTGTTAGCTTGGCATCATTGGATCAAATAGTTTTGACAAACATCCACAGTTACACACTACACAATGAGTCAACACAAAATTCTGAGGAAATAAAAAGAAATTATTACCTTGCAATATACCATAAGTTACCACTTCATCTTTTATGACAACCTTTGATCCAAAAGTTAAGGAGACCCACAAGAAACCAATCGTGTCCATCTTTCATTTGCGCATAGGGCTCACGCCCCAATTGCCAATTCAATATGACCATGGTATTTAAATTTGCACCTTGGAAAATAAGACAGCATCTCGCTTTCCAAATATACCACAAGGCGTCACACTATATTTTCTAAAGTTGTAGTCTTAGAATGTTATAGACTGATTAGTTGCATCACAAGTATACCACTGAAAAGAAAAAAAATAAATCATAACCCAATAATTCAAGCAGAAAAAAAATTACAAGAAATCATTTATCAAAAAGATTATTTTGCTCTCTAGAGTTCATTTTAAAGTGAGGTGGTTGTTTGTAAATTTCTTTGAATTTTTGATTGAATTACCTGAACACACCGCAAATTTGAGTTGTCATTGCCACCTTCAACGTGGGGATATATTAGCACCATGAAGTAGGATTAGATGATGCAGTGATACAAAAATCTATAATCAAAGGCAAATTCCATGCACAAAGTACGTGTTACCTCTATACCTAACCACCCTGCTGTCTGCTCCAACACACCACATATGGCCCTGCAAGTCCAAATTCCCTTTCATTCCAGCCATTTCCCACACAAACTTAAAAATTCCAAGTGCCCGGTCCAACTGCTTCACCCCTCGCCCAACCATCTTCTCACTATCCGAAGTCAAGATTCTTCCCATAAACAAGCAAAACTTGCCATCACTTCCATTTGCATAGACCCCACCACGCATGTCTACTTCAATATCCACCACCCTTCCATAAAGATAATACAGTAATAGAGTGAATATGCAACGAGAGGAGTGACCCAACATTTTGGAAAGTTTCTTCCTCACCAAGCTTTCTTGATGCTGAGCTTCCTTGTATCCAACACTGTTGTCAACTGAAACATCCTTTATGTGCAAAAGCCCCTCCTTCATGATCTCAGCTTTAGCTACATGGAACTTCAACCTCACTTCCTTTTTACAGCATTCAATCAGATCATTGAACATCACAAGAACATCCCATTTTCGTGGGTCAGATGCAAGCATTTTAGAAGGTGAAAGCTTCATCCAAGAAGATGACTCGGTGTCTGAAAAGACACCAATTTCAGTAAGAAACTTCAAACAGCTATGAACAATTTGGCCACGTAACAAAGCATCATTGTTTAAGCCCTGAGAAGACAAAAAATCCAAATCAACTGCAAAATCATTCAGAACTTCTTTAAGTGCACCAGTCCATATGCGATGTTGAGTAACCTGGGGGCACACTCTTAGATGAACCACCTTCCTTTGTTGAGCAGAAACATTGAGAAAGTTGCTCACTTTGGTCAGTGAGTCAACCACCATATGATCTCTTTCAGTTGCTTTACTAAAAGGGGTAAAAGATTCATGTTTTGCATTTGTGATGAAAGAGGCCTGGACATGTTTCATTTTGTGCTGAACAATTGCAGACCCAACAAGCTCACGAACAAGGGACTTGAAGGTAGACATTTCACGCTCAATGTCATCATCAAAAAATGTTGAATTGCTCTTTACATCAACAAGTCTAGCATTAACTTCATCCACATTTCCTAGCAAATGGGTTAACTCTTTCACCTTGAGAAACTCATTCTGATACCATTGCAGGCTGGGAGCATCTTTTGAAGAGTGATAAAACATCGAGTTCAGGTAGAAGGCTGCAAACTTATTGGTTCTAATAAAATGGTTTCCACAGTAAAGGAGCTCAAAAAATCTTCGACCCATTGTGCTGAAACTAAGAGTTACCTTCCAAGCAAATAAAAGAGTCAAATGACTTTAAGAAAAGGTGCTTGTTTTCTTTAAGGCAATATATCAAACATATTGCAGTGGCCCTGAAAAGTAAACGTAGCCAATCAAGTTGTAACTATATAGGACAGTATAATATAATTAGACAACAGTGTAATACAGAGCGATAGAGGGTGTGTCATTATTAGGGATCGGTAGTTTCAACACTAAATTTTTAAGAGACATAAACTAGAGTGACTGAAAAGGGAAGAAAGTCAAGAGATAGATGGAAATAGACTGGATTAGTAACAAGATGAAAATATTTAAAAGCTTCACAGTAATTTTTGTTGCATATTTTTGTATATCTTTTACTTATTACTATTATTATTTGTTTTTTTGAACCAAACATATTAATGTTTACTTTATTTCATACATAATTTACTTTTTTTTTATTTGATAAAACTAAAGTGAACGTGGAGGGTGAGAGGGAATAAAAGGATGAAACTAAGAGAAGGTGAATTATTGAAAAGTGAAGGATAGTGCACAACTATTAAAAACAAAACATGTGAACCGTAATACAATTTTTGTTGTTGCGCAAAACAATGTACAATACAATAGTAAAAGTGGACCTGAATGCCTATCTCAATAGAAAAAATTCTTACAATTATATTCAACTTCAGATAAAAAAGCAATTAATGAGAAAAACAAAGCAAAGAGATCAACGGGCAAATAACTTGTTTAGGAAAAGGAGAGGGTTAGAAATGATTAAAAAAGCAATGACGGTGTATTTGTCATACATGGCAGCAATATACAAAGGCACCTTCTGAAAGTGACCGAAACAAATCGCACTTGCTGTATTAGTCATAGATGACCACGGATGATGTTTTGCTGAGATCAAAGTGTGACTATGTCTTTGAAAATTAGGAAACAATTAAGTTATATTAGTTCTTTTTCACTAGACTAAATACTATATCGCACGATATGTTTTCTTCACAGTGTGAATCATCTCCCAGAACTTAAATATTGATTTCTATTTCTTATTTCTTGCTTTTGATTTGCTAATTCTATCCTACAAAGGACTGAAATGGGAAATTTGTATATCATGCTATGCTTCTGCAATCCCCTAAATTCCATTTGCAGACTATTGTTAAGTCTACCTTTGGAATTGAATCCTTGATATTAAGTAAAGTACGTTAAAGATGAATATTTTTTAAATCTTACTTTATGATGATAATATGTGAGGTACGATCACCAATTTCATGTCAAACTATTTCTCAACTTTTGTACTTTGGTTTTCAAACAACTTACTGAAACACTATTTCATTTAAACAAGTACACTTCAAATTTCCCAAACCAAAGATTGAATTTTGCTAGTAATTTCCTTATAATGCAAGTAGGTGCATCTTTTCCCCCACAAAGGTCTAATGTAGCGATAGAAAAATTTGTATATTAAGCATGTCATACTTGAATTTTTAATGTATCAGTGGTTTGGGGATTTCACTAGTAGTGTATTCTCCATGAATGACGATAAAAAAAAAAATATATCCTCGTTTTCAAAACTTCAACAGAAGCTCGCCTAAATAAACAATACAATTAGTTTATAACTAATAATAAGAGTAATGTACAATTGACGGATGAGTTGAGCATGTCCTTTCTCTGACGTCGCTGCCTATAAATGCAGCAATGCAGCATATATTCGAAGCACTAAACCTTAATTTGTGTATGGAGTATGAAGTATTTTAATCGAAGGACAATGTTACCTATTTTCGATCACGAACCCTAATAATTACGAGTCTGAAACGGTGCAAGCATGAGGTGGTCGTGAGTTTGGGAGCAAGTCGCAAGCATGGCGGCAACGACGAGTCTCGACGAGATCAAATTGCGAGCGAGGACCTTGCTATGTGAGAACTAGGCCACGAGGGTCGAGCACGAGTTTGACAACAGAAAGCACTTGTTCGACGGTGGTGGCGGTGGTGGCGGTGGTGAGCAAGTGCGGTGGCAAGCATGAGATGAGACTAACAAAACCTAGTGTCAGCATCCAATTTCGAGCTGTGGGGGAGCTGAATGACAAAGGGATAGGGACAAACGTGAGTTGCCCCCTCCTAACGGTGCGAAGGGAAAAGATGGGAAAGATTGCCCCGTTAAGATGGTTGAATGAGGATGTGACAAGGAGAATTGCCCCTTGGCTTATTGACTGAGACAGTTCAAAATTTTTACGTTTCTTTTTTCTTTTTTGTGTTTTTTTTAGCGACCGAGTCGTTAATGATAAATTTTTAATATATATATATATATATATATATATATATATATATATATATATATATATATATATATTTAATTCTTAATCAGTGGACTTTTATTTGTGGGTTAAGGGATATGAAAGAAAATAGACAATGTTGGTAGGTTATTTGAATAAGAATTGGGAAATTAAACATAGAATTGCTTTCTTCTTCTTATGTTTTTTTTATAGGATAAGAAATATATTCACACGTTGTAATTGTCTTTTTTTTTTTTTTCAGCTTTTCAATCTTGTCGACTTTTCTTTTTCTTTTTCAATTTTTTTAAACACAGATGAGATATTGTAGACTTTTCTTCTTCATTTTTTTTAAACACAGATGAGATCATCAGAGTAAGATTGCTTTACTCTGGCCAATGATAAAATTTATTGGGCGCAGGTGCATTCATTTTCAAGGGATGGAACGGCAGAAGTGTTTCAACCATGTATTTGAATGCTTACAGCATTAGACCAAAGAAGTGCATGACATTCCCCACACACACCGAATCAATGAGGAAGACAAAATCAGCATTAACAAAACTCCATCAAGGTGGTGAACGGAAACTTCCGCCACGGATGTTCCGGCAGGCACCCTGACGTGAGATCATTGAAAGATTCCGGCATCACGTGCATGTAACCGGTGGCGAGTATGACGTCGGAGGAGAGAGCCTTCCCTAGAACGAAGAGGTCGTCGTCGGGTTGCAGTTTGGGAACTGAACGGGAAAACAACGGGAGTGAAATCCCTATCACACTCGACACAAACATACAGAATATCGCTATCACCTTTAGCTTCAGCGACTCTGCCTTTAATGACCATTCACTCTTATCTATGTACCCCAAAGTTGAAATCTTACATGAACCCTGTACATCAGAGTCATTGATCATAAAAAGGAAGAGAATTTTTATTTAAAATTAAAAGAAAATGTGCTCTATGACTCTTTGCAAGCTCACAAATATCACAATAAAAAGTTGAAATATCTACTTGGTCAAATACATTTGGAAATAATTTCTTTATGTAACCAAAAGATGCATGTCCTAGACGCTTATATCATAATCAGATATCATCGCCTTTTCTTACTTTTTGAGACCATTTTATTGCTAGCACTTAACCAAGTCTGTTTGAATCTTTTTATGTTAGGTCCAGGTAATACAACATTCCTCGCCTAATACAACAACCAATCATCTTCCTCGTTTGAATATCCTTAAAAACACAAGAGTCAGGCCCAAAAATTACAACACATAAAAAAACTTTGGTTATTTGCGAGACTGACAATAGATTATATTTAAGAGAAAGAACAATAAGGACAGTATAAAGATTCAAATTGTTTGAAATAGAGACGGTTCCTTCTCCAATAATAGTGGATTTACTACCATTGGTTGTGGATATACTTTTTTGTGAGGAAGGTTTAAGATTTTTAATTTGTCTAACATCAAAAGTCACATGATCAGAACATGCAGAGTCAATTATCCATGCATTATTCAGAACGGTAGATGTGCTTATTAAAGCCTTACCATTAGAATCATTACTACCTGCGATTGTAGCAAACATCATGTCTTTGTCGTCCTCTTTGTCAATGGCAGTTACAGTAGCAACAGTTGGATTTCTTTTTGAATTTTTCTTCGATGCTCGACTGTGATCCCACCACTCGGGGTATCCTATGATTTCATAGCATCGTTCCTTGGTGTGTCTATCCTTATTACATTGAGTACACTTGTAGTTACCTTTTTCAAAATCTTTTGATTGCTTCGATTTGCTGTGGTGAATTGTTAGCTTCTTCTTTGTCATCATAGCTGTGAAATCAGAAATCATATCTTCTGTTTTCAACGTTGTTCGCCGGACTGTCTCTCTCCATATCAATGCATAGCATTCTTCTAAATCAGGTGTCACTTCTTTGCGCAAGATTTCTCCACAAATTTGCTCAAAATCATCATCTAGTCCAGCAAGGAATATATGCACCTTTAATCTTTCAATGAACTTCTGATATGACTTCACATCATCAGGGTCCTTCATGACTACTTTCACTAGTGCAAAAAGGGGCTTTTACGTCAGGTATTTAGGACTTTTTACGTCGTATTTAAGACTGACGTTAAAATGGGAGACGTAAATTTACGTCAGACCCTTTAGCCCGACGTAAATTTACGTCAGTTATCAAGACCCGATGTAATTTTGTGTTGCATATACCACTAAACAGACGTAAAAACTTTCGAAAATTAAAAAAAAATAGCAAATTTACGTCGCATATACCAATACGCGATGTAAATTTACGTCGCGTATATCAATATGCAACGTAAATTTGCTGTTTTTTTTTAAATTGGGTTGATTACTTTTTACAACTAAAACCTGCAAATATATATTATAACCAGACAGTCCAGAGGTTCAATTTTCTTTAGCTAGTAAATTAAAAATATAATATTATATAATTCAAACTACATAATAAAACAATATAATACAAACATACAAACTAAAAAATCTATTACAAACTAAAAGTTAATACAAACTAAGCTACCTAAACTACATAATGCACACAATATAATATGAACAAGAACTTAAAAAATTATGTACTAGAATTGTTGAACAAAAATTTTTGCCCATTGTTATCTAATTTGTGTAATATCATATTCTGGTAATGGAGATATATCTTGAAATACCTGAAACATTAACTTGACTCTTGTAAACATGCAACATGAATAAAGTAAAATAAACTTAACTAATGTTAAAAGCAATTATCTCCAGTCCAAGAATCAATTATACCCGCACAAACTATGGCTCTCATCTAATACATAACATAGTAACCACATTCAAACGAGTCTGTTTGCTTATTACATTGAAATGATGAAAAAAACATAATGTTATTTTCAAAATTTAAATACAAACAATAATTATGGTATTCACTTATATAAATAAGTTTCTAACCTTAGGATAAATGAGCTGCAAAGTCTTTGTTCTAGGTTTTCCACTTAGAACATTAGTTCCGAGACATCGATTCTAAGTGAAAAAAGTCATATATTATTCAATATGTATTTATAATTTAAAAACATAATTAATGAATAAAAGATAAAGTTACCCTTGTAATAAGTTTTTCATTTCTTGACTCGGTTTCCGATGTAATGAACAAAACCACACTACAGTGTAATCCCGGGGCATGATTACAATTAACTGTCAATGGGACCTACATTGTATGACATAAAAATTAGTTACAAAAATATAAATTAAAATACAAATTAAAATACTAACTCTTCAATGTATGAAGTCAAATATATATGTCTTTTTGAGTCACTCATCCATGTTTGCATATATTGTTGGATTCCAACCTTTGTATTTCCAGATTTTTGGATGGATTGAGGCTCAATAAATCCAGTATACTTCGGATTTTTCTTGTTCCACACTCAATTTGTCAATGTACCTAAAACAATTAATTATAAGTTGAATATAATTATTATAATGTTAGAAACATAAATGAGAATGACTTACATTGCCCACAATTGTATGATGGAAATGTTTAACATGCAATTTCCCCCAGCAATTTCTAAAGCATCGGACAAGGAAATGTATAATGGAACATTGGAATTGTCAATTCCAAACACTCTAACATCCCATTGTATCTGACACGGTCTCTTCCTCAACCGTGGTAATATGGTCAACAACATAGAGATGGGATCATCATCACATTCTATCAGATCCTCATCAATAATAGGTTGTTTTTTATGCTTAGCACGACGCAAGTCCTCCTAAACAAATGATAACAATTAATTAAATATTTATATAATTATAATACTAGAAAAGAGAAAATATACATATATATATATATATATATATATATATATATATATATATATTACCTTGGTATGTCTTGATAGTGGCATAACCAAACGTCTTGGCCAAGCCAAGAATGTCCCGCTTGCTGCCCCACTAATTGAATCTCTTCATTAGGAAAAGACACTGGAGCATTAGCATCATGAACTTCATCAACTACTACTCGTGTCCAGTCACTGCTGTAGAGGGACACCATGGATGGTTAAGCCACCCTCAAAACTCGACCAATAGCCACTAGACGCGGGGGTCATCTTCAACATATAACTCACACTCGGTGTGATGCATCGATCCGAGTATATTCTCTTGAAGGATCAGCGAGCGGTAGCAGCACAACTCCCTTTAGTGCTGACTCGAACAACATCATGTTCAATTGTTTGAGGTGTTCCTTGAGTCTCGTTGCTTGAGAGCGGGCGAGAGATTCAATTTTCTCATCAAACTCTTGTTGCAAGGACTGCCTTAATTGATTTAACTTTTCTTCAAACTGCATCTCCATTTTATGCAAGGCCTCCTGGCTGCAAGAGTCAGTAGTGGTCCTTCGTGATGTTAGACCAAAGTAATCACGAAGGCCCCGGGATCCACCAACACCACGCACACGTCCTGAGTAATGCTGGTTTTCCTATGGTTGTCGCCAATATATCTTGTCGACCATGAGGAATAAATGATCCTTGGGTGCTTCTGCTCAAATAAATCATCCTACAACACATTAACAATAATTAAGTCATACACTAACTTTCACGTTAGAATCAATTCAAATTGACATTATAACTTACGATTTTACGAGCAATGATTCGTGCGGACTCGGAAGTCATTTGTCCATCGGATTTTGTCAGTTGCCTTCCACATCTCATAGCGAGGGGTGGAGATGCAAGGTCGATAGACTCGACTCCTGTCGACTCTTCTGCGGCTTTCATGAGATGTTGCTCCAATAATGCATACCCTCCTCGTGACAATACATGGGGTGCATCATTCAACCTCGACGTTGTTGGGCAACACGTCTTTTATCCTGCCAAGAGGGGTCCATTCGGCTGGCACAAAGCGTAACCAATCCTCCTCACTAATTTGATACTTTAGACAGGGAGATTCATCTTGAAACTTTTCAAATACATACTCTCGTGTCAAGAAAGTCTTAAAGTCCCTCCATCTAATGGCAATGGAGGATAAAATCTTCTTCCTCATCACCTCGGTGTTAGGAACATCAAAATTTTGCTTTGTGAAATGACCAATAAATGTTAAATTCAATTAATAATGATATATAAAGTATTCAACAAATATAGAAATACACGAACATCCTGCCACATGAGGTTCTTCTCGATTTCCTCTACATCATCCCAAGATGGAGTAGTAATCGGAACATGGTGTCGAGCTAGTAGTCCCAAATAGCTCTTAAACTTAGCAACATTTGGGTCGAGATGCCTTACCGAACGTGGATCAACTTCAACTTGAGTTTTCTCTCTAGCTACCCTCCTTGCTCGTCAACCCCTTTAACCGAGTGATGAGATCTACCTTTACCTCCACTTCGGCTCCTGCCTTGCCACTACCACTACCGGTACCGGATGTGGAATCAGACATATCCTGAAAAACAAAACAATATGAAGTCAACATATTTATAAGTTTGAATAAAAAGAACTAGAAAATGTGAAGATAAACACCTATTATGTTGGTATATTTTCCCATATCCCTTCATCATGATCACTTCGAATTGCATGTATGTCATCAACTTCATTGTCAACTATGTCATCAAATTGTCTACTTGAAAATGAAGGTGTTTCATGTATATCTAGAGACTCATCTTCATGAATTCCGTGCATGCTTCTTCCTTCAAGGACAATTGACCATCTCTCATTACATGGATCCTTGACATAAAATATTTGTCTCGCTTGATATGCCAAAATAAAAGGTTCATCCTTATACCCAACTTTACTCAAATCAACCAAAGTAAATCCTAGGTCATCTGTTCGCACACCCGTATTCCCTTCAACCCATTTACACTTGAAGACAGGCAC